GTGTCTCTAAACTTTTCAAATATTTGCCTGCGTGATCAAAAAACCGTAAATTTACATCGAATATGATTTATATGTTATGTAGTACTTATCAGTTTAAACGGTATTTCTCCCGCCCTTTTGACACGCCTTCGTGGTGTAATGGTCAGCACACTCAGCGCGTATTACAGAGGTCCGAGGTTCGATTCCCTGTGAAGGCATTGCTAAATTTTTCATGTCCTATGCTTCGAAATAGCCTAATGTTTCTACAGTAGCGCCTGAACTAACAGAAAAAGGTGGTGTATTATGATTCTCCACATTCGGGATTTGGCGATTGGGTCCCCTAATCCTCAGTTGCCCTTTAAAAGGGGGAGTATATAAGGTATTTCACCAGCTATGCCTTTATATTGTAATGTCCAGCATACTCGGCGCGTATTCAAGAGGTCTGAGGTTCCGGCGAGGGCACTGCTCATTTTTCATGTCTCCTGCTTTGAAATAACATAATGTCCCTAAAACTTGAACAATGTTTTTAACTGACGAAAAGGAGCAAACCCTAGCGGCAGTTAACAAGTGTTGATCCCAGCTCTGTTCTGAAAAATGCTTTTACCAGTGGCATGTCTCCGGCGATTCAAAAGCTGGTTGCATTAAAAATCTACAAAGTGTCCAGAAAGGTACAATAGGTATACACTTTCATGTCCCTTCTATTTTTAAAGAATTAGAATATTAGGTAAGAATTTTATGATTTACTCGCATTTTAAATCTGTTATTAAGTATGAAAATGGCTGTTCTTCCCTTTCGTCCCGCACTAACGCCCATTGACGACTATTTGATACATTTGATATATCGAGTTTGACAAACTTCCACTGCTGTTGGTCAGAATGCATATTTCATTTGCTATGATTTCTATGTGGCACGTTATTCGTTCTTCATATCCATTCTAAAGATTCTGTTTACTGGGTATTTTAAGTTACAGTTGAATGTGAAGAATCTTAAGCAAATAATCGCTTGAATTCGTGGGGTAGAAAGCGAAAAGTGAGAAGGTTGAAATAACCCTTTATTATTCCAACTAAAGTTTAACAGAACTCCATCTTCGGAGTTTTACAATAATGCCGACACTCGAGCTTGAACTTAGGAAACTAAGAATTAAAACTTAAACTAATCTTAACTAAAAAGATATAGTCGAAGCTATCAAGATTTAAACGGAGTTGGCCCCTTAACGCTAATTGACTACGAAGCTATCAAGGGCCGAAAGTACGGCCGAGCGTAATAATAGCTTACGAGAGAGTAGCCTAAAAATGCGGACGCGTGCACACAGAATACCTGGTAACTTATGATTCACGTCTAAATAATATAATAACTTATGATTCACGTCTAAATAATATAATAACTTATGATTCACGTCTGAATCACAATGAGGAAGAGCGGTTAAATATCGGTTCTGGCCGGAAGTGGTAAGTTGAAATTAAGAAGCGATAGGAAAGGAAATTAACTCAAAATTTAACTGTTAATAAAATTAACATAATCCTTACACCATTATTTAATTGTAATGACGAAAGTGATTATTGCACCTTTCCTCAAAGAAAGTGTCAATCAAAAAATGTATGGAGTTTGGACGATGCATGTTAGTCAATTAAAAGATTAAGTCAACCGTTGCCTTAATTTCCTAAAAAATAGCATATCATTAAGAATATTTTTTATGAATTTTGAAAGCTTTTAAAAATTTGACAAATCGCAGGCATTTCAAATCAATAAGATTTTCTTGGAATATCTTTATTTTGCCCCTATCAGTGTAACACATAACGTTCGTTCCTTTTAAAGCTCTTAGGTATTATTTTAAAGTTAATGCGAAGTTAAAGGGTTTTAGAAAACTATACTTCTTTAAAAGAGATTTACAATAGAAAAGGTTTCTAAAAGAATCTGTACAGTGAAGAAAGGTACTCAGTCAGTAAGCAGATGCGAAAGAAAGTCCTAAGAGGCTATTCCCAACTCTAATGAGCTTACGTCATCAAAGGAGATTAAAGAAATGAAGTGTCTGTGGAAAAGACTATATATTTGTTTACTGAGAAAACTCAAAACCTGCTAACATCTATTTATATTTTCTAAATGTAAAAAAATGAGAAGACAGTTGAACGAAAAATATGAATTCAAATGAACAAATTAATTTAGTATAAGAAAGAAAATCTTTAGAAAAGTTCTAATGCTCGCATTCTGATTGGTTTTCCATCATTCTGAAATATTTTTCTAGCTGCTAACACTTTTTTTAGACTACTATAAACATTACCATAATAAACAGTACAATGGTTGATTACAATTTTGATATTGCAGTAGATATTTGCAAAAATGAAATGATGTACTTGTCTATGTACAAGAAACTGAAATTAAATTGCAATAAAAACTCGCTAAAAAGAACTTTAAGTGAAAGATAATTTTATTCACTATATTCAACTAAAAAAAAAAAAAAAAAAAAAAAAAAAAAAAAGATTTTTCCACAAAAAGTGCAAAGGCCGACTGATGAATCACAAGAAAATAAAAACAGCTTTGCACCCCTAATAAAAAATAACTGACTAATAATGTAATCAAAATATCATATTAGAATTAGTTACAATTATTACTCCATAAAATCCTTAAAAATTTGTTTTCAGTTTTATCATGCATACATTGTATACACTAAATTACCTAACATAAAATTAGTGGTTCAGACTATTCTTTCAAAATACAAATCTCTTTTTAAAATACATGCATGTAATTATGAATTACAGTTCTATCGATGAAAATACAAAAATACGGAAAGTGTGTAAAATAATTTATTTTTAACTTTTACAAATAATAGTACAAAAATAATTTTTAATTTTCTGCAGATATGACGCAAACTCTAGGAAGTTATATTTTTATTCATAATGCTTAACAAACATGAAGACTTCATCACTTTCTTTTCATAATTTGTATGAATATAAACATAATAGTAACATTTCTCACTGCTGTTAGTAGTGATAGAGAACTTGATTTAATTGTGTTGCATTTCTTCAACATTTATATCAGCATCAGAAGAAGAACCTTAATTATCTGCAGTTTCCCATTTAAATTCTGTCACAATACCTTCATCACTCAGATCTTTCAATGTAATAACATTGTCATCACATGTTTGGAAAAGTTCCATATTATGTACTGAAAACGCTGAATTGTTGTTTTTTGTTAGTGTTTCAGCACATGAAAAATTATCTTATTCGTAATCTTCAACATCATTTGTTAGACAACATGCAAAACAAAATAATATGCTTGATTCTGTGTAATAATTTTCAAGTATTAGTACTGAAAGAAGAAATAAATCGTATAATCTATATGTTTATTGCAATTTCCCAAAATACTTAAAAAGAGAGGTTTTCTGTAATGACATTTCCGCTCCTGTCTCGCTTTGGTTCTAAGCTTTCAGATGGTAGTTTCATTCTAGGCCAAAGAACCATCTTATTCCCTTTTAAGTTTTTTTATATCTGTGTGTGCAGAATAGTTATCAGTTTTAAGGTCAATCTGTCATCCATACCTGATAGTTAGCTTTAGAGAAAACAACAAGAATGTTTTACATTTTGCAAGAAATTCGTCTCAAAATTCTGGTAGATTTTAGATTAATCAGTAAATCTCTACGACTCTCAGTGCCATTCATGTTGACACTCACAAGCAATGTAACACATATTTTATGTCTCTAATTTTAATGTTTAATGTTTTTTCTAAATTTAATGTTTAGTTTCATGACATACTGTAGAGCAACCCAGTTTCATGAGCCTTGGAGATATTTGTTTCTTCAATGATTCTGTATATTTTGAATAATATTTATCGTATCTTTAATTCGAAACGCTTTACTTTTGTTTAAAATCAACTACATCACAGTGGATTAATAAAATGTGTATTAGGGGAACGAAGAAACTAAGCATTCACACTACAGCGATCAAACATTACAAGTACTAAAGTTCAGAGATTCAGTTGGCAGACTGTCAGAAACAAAGATTACATCACGTTCAGCTCTGAGAGAGGAACACAAGCTAGCAAAGATAATCAATCACAGTAATTATTGCATCTCAAGGGGGGATTGGATGTATAAAAGAACCAGTAAAGAGCATAATCAAATTTGCTGTAGTAGTCATTGCAAATTATGTTTTGAAATTGGAATTACATTGCTCTTTTTTTACATTATGCATATAGCTGAAAGTAATTCAAATATACTGTAATTGCAAATGCATTGTAAACTGGAAGAGTTCAAATTACAAGTACATTGCAATTGTAGCCACAGCTACATTGTAATTGCAAATATGAGCTACATTTTAATTACAATTACAATGCAACTGCAATCACATGGCGGTTATTTTTTTTTTAAATTGAACGAATCAGTAATAGTTTCATATAGCATTAATAGTGCAAAATTTCACTGAAATGCTTACGGAAAAATACGAATAAATTTTCATTAAGTTATGTTTTGAAACTGCACTCTTGAATATCACAATAAAAGATTCTGCGCTTGTGTTGAGTTCTGTAATTTTAATTAACTATTTGGAATTATATATAAACCAGCAGCATATTTTGAATTAAAAACCAGAAGTGAAATATTTCTGCAATGATTGAAATATTTTATGAATATATTAATAACAAATTAAGTATTAACTTAATATCTTATAAATTCTGAAATAAAATGTGAACGGATGAGGATATGGATTATAAATATGATTATATGACTCCGAATTGGGCCTTAATAAGCTAAATAAGAAAATTGAGTCTCTTGAGGGTGCATGACTTTGACGAGCCAGCAGTTGAAACTCCAAGAATGGTGAAAAAAGGAGGTAAATATGGGGAGACGATAATGTATTGTGACATGTGTGCTAATCTAATGGAAAGCGATGAGAAACAAAAGTCATGCAGCGCAAGAGAACAGGTAAATGTTGGAGTCATAGCTAGGTTACGAAGTAGTGATCTCTAAATATGTATGTAGCTAATGATCTAATCGAATTATCTTCTGGAATGATATGATAACTAAGAACTTATGAAACATTTTCAGCATCACAGCTATGTCCAGTTCTGAAGAAAGGCTTATTAAGTTTAGTAATGTGGTCCACTATAGGTTGAATTTTCAAGTCTTCATGAATCAGTTTCCTTCTAATCAGGTAATAAGCATTTACAATTCTTCCAAGAGTCTTATTCTGTACTGTCTGAAGATTGTGGAAGTCTGCATTTGATGCTGATGTTCCACCTGTACATGTGAAGCATAGAATTGGCCTAGCACAGGTGTATCATTCTATTTTTGTTGAAAGACAGTCCACAGTAATTTCCTAGGAGTACAGAAAGTTGGTTAGCGATACTACAGGCTTTTCCTACGACGTGCTTAATATGGAAAGTCCATGCGAGCCTTTGGTTACTGATAACCCCTAGATAACTTACATTATTTACACGATTCACATTTTCCCCAAATATGAAAAGGTTGTTCAATTCTATTTTCCGAACCCTGCACTCCCTTACCAGCAGGACCTTTGAGGCATTTATACTGATTCTCCAATTTCTGCAGCAATTCTGAGTATCTGAAACTAAATCACAATTTGGAGATAACATAGTTGGCTTGGATAGAGCTCACGGCTACGGCCGCATCCACGGCATAGCAAGCTAACACAAAGTTATAATCCAGTTTATCTCTGGGAAAATGGACGCTACACAGGAACATTAGGGCAAACCAGCGATGTTGTTCTTGAAGGCAGAATAGGCACTTTCAAGAGACACTAAACGTTCAGTCAAGTAAGGAAGGTATTGAGGAGAAGTATGATTTCCAACCTGAAGTTCAACTTGATTCTCTTCGTAAATTAACTCCTTACGCCAGGCGCTGCTGAATGCATTCTCCATGTCTAGCATAAAGATGGCCGTGTATTTCTAGTCGTGCAGAGCTGCTGCGGTAAAATCATCTAGCTTGACTAGTTGCTTTGAAGTAGACAGTTACTTCCTGAAACCATACTGATCAGGGGGAAGTAGTTGAAGAATTAGATTAATCTTTTTAAGGTAAGGCGTTCATAAATTTTGCTAAGTTTGGAAAGGAAACTTATATGGTGAAAATTCCCTACTTTGGTGCTGTCCTTCTCAGGTTTGACGAGAATAAAGATCTCGGCACTTTTCCAAGGATTTAGAAAACACATTTACACAGGCATTGATGATTCCAATGAATTTGGCGATAGTATTGGAATGCACTATATTTCAAATTTCACCAGGAGTAGCGAGGTCAGGCAGGGGGCTTGTTGAGGGGACACATATCCAAGAAACTGCTGTTCTAGGTGTTCAGAGAAAACTCTCAATTTGCCTATATATGAATGCGTAGCAGGAATAGGCTGATTACTCTTGCGTTTGTTCTCAAGCTATTCGATGAATTTCTGGAAGGCCATATCATTAGCTCTATATCTGCAATTTTTTCTTCCCACCTTTCAGCACGGAATTTCTTAATTTTTTTAATTGCCATGCTTATGAAATTAAACTCTGTTTTGTTTGCCAAATCCCACGCATACGGCTTCTTGTTGTAATAAGTTGCTTTATGTTTGGGAGAAGTTTTAATACAAAATTCTTTGCAATCAGAATGTTGGTGACTTCCTAATAAGCATCGTTTAAGCGCATGGGAGATCTTCGTTTTTAGGCTGGTTTTCTTGAGGATATTATGAAAAAGCAATCCGTTTATGGGTTCTGATCTTGCGCTAGTTGATTTTTTAAACATAGAAACAGCTGTGATTAGGATGTGGCCTGAAGCGAGAGTTCGGTAGTCCCTATAGCAATAGGATTGCCAGAGTTAGTAAATATTAAGTCAAGAATGTCAGGTTGTCTTCGTGGGTGAAATGGTCTGTAAGTAGCTTTCCATACGCATAGAGTGAGAGAGGATTGTTTCGGATCAACTCGTGCGAGGCACTTTCGTTTAAATTAGTGTTTCTACGATTTCAGTCAGTGTGTTTTGCAATTTGATCTCCATCAACGATGATGTAAAATACTGATTTGAAATATGCACTTTAAGAAGAATTCAATTGATATGTAATGCTGGTTTTAAAATTTGTACTTAAAACTGTGGTGTCATTTCAGTTTTTAAGATGTGAGTCAAATTACTGAATAAAGGATATATTTAAAATAATTTATTATAATGCGAAGACTGAATGTAATTGAATACGATTGTTTGGAACTGATAATACATGAAGCTGTATTCATAAAACGATGTAGTGCAGTATTGTAATGATATTTTTTTTAAACGTAAATCAGCATTTCTGCATTCATCACGTTACCCTCTTTTGACTGAAAAGAACATTATTTAAAAACTTAAATATTATACACAAACCAAATGCAGTCATTTGAAAACTAATGTTTGATAAATTTATATTACATAACAGAAAATAGCGGATACCTTTATACAAATACTTTGTATGGAGAATTTGGTTTTATTTTTTACATTTTCCTCCTTTCATGTTACTTTAAAAAAGTCGTGCTTCTTCAATCATGAGCACAGGATAAAACCAACCGTTAGTATATAAAAGATAATATATATTCTACTTTATCTTATAAACCTGCTTCAAATGTCAAAGAAATGAGATTAAGTTTAATCTTTCACTTAAAACTCTCTTCATATTCTTATTAATGAAGTCTTGTCCATGATTTAAGAAAAATGAATCCTTAAGCTTCTACTTCTTTTAACAAGCATAAAAGCTTTTTTCACACACACACACACAAAAAAAAATACATTTTAGAAACCGTATCCAATTAAATCATGCCACTATAACAGCACTATACTCTGCTATGAATATTTTTACTATAAGTACTGCAATTAAAAAACTATGGAGCGTTTTCATTGGTGAAAAAATTATATCTTTTCAGTCAACAAGCGGTAAAAATTTTCAATAGTATTTAGCGTTTAAGTGAAGTGCTAAACTGAGACTTTTTTATACGCAAATTTTACAGACTTCATAATGAAAAACGTGCCAATAAACTGAAGCACCTTACTTTAGTGTTTTTCTTCTAAACTTATGTAGTTATTTTTTTATTTTTTTATTTTTAGCTTAGATAAGATTAGAACGAAACTAGAAATAAATTATTTTCATTCGAATCCATCACGTAAAGGAATTTTGTCGTTATTGTTTTACTTCAAAAATCAATATAACACGTTTTGCACTTATCCTTATTATGTTCTTTTATATACAAAAACTTCTAACTTACGGAAGCTGACGAAACAATAATAGCAAAAGAAAAATAACCTTCAGTGAAGAATTATCCTTAATAAATAAGAGTTTTTCGCAGCTTTTCAAACCATATGTATGGGAATCTACACAACAATTCTAATACTATGTTTTGTTTCAAATTTCGCTGCAGCTATGATAGATATGTCTGCTTTCATGACAGTGATGTTTAATCTTTCTAAGTTTTGAATTAGCAGTTAGTTCAACTGTTTATGAAAACATATACTATAATTTGAAAATCTGCAGTACGAATGGAATGGTAAGAAACGTGGAAATGAATTGTCAGTAAATAGTACATTCAAATAATTATAATAATATTAATATTAATGTACTTTAAAGCTTTACCTTTTGTACCCTGAGATAAAGTTCACCTTTAACAACAATATCTCAAAGTCATACAGTGAAATAAATTTACGCATGAAAGATAAATTTTCTAGAAATTCGGCAGCGCTGTCAGCTTTACATATAAATATCAAATCTTATTTGCCTTTTATTTCATTTTAAAGAAAATTAATTTATTTAAAATTTAATCAAGGAAATCAAGATCTTAGTTGTAGTAATTTATGAGATATTATAGGGATAAAATTGAAACTGAAAGAATTTTATTTATTATATTTCTCTTCAAATTTGCTATAACATATTTTCTCCTTCCATTCTATATTCCTCCTAAGTTAGTACCCAAAAGAAATTATGAATTCAATACATTATTTACTGAGCTTTGTTATACACTAGAGAAAGAATACTAACTTTTCTTTGATATAAAATTACAATTTTATTTCTAACATAAGCTTTAAAATGTCTTTAAAACTATTTAATTTCAAAAGACACTCGCTTTAAATTTAGATTTTAGCACTAAATGTCAATTAGATTACTTTAATGCAGTTTAGAATTGAATGAAATCACAAAATTTCTTACAGAAATTAAAATGGAAATGACATTAATTAGCTTATTTTCTATGGCTTTAAACAGCATACGAGTTAGATGAAATTTTCAAGAAAGTTATGCAAAATGCATTTCTGCAAAAGATTCCTGAAATTTGGTTCTTATATATATATATATATATATATATATATATATTTTTACATATTTCTGTGGATGGGTCAGTTTTTTCATCCACATTTACAAGTCATTGTTATATTTTTTGCCGTTTGAAATTTCATCATGAATATATAATATAAAGTTATAAAACAAACAGAAGATCATATCTAAAATAATAATAATTGTATATAGCTATTATAACAATAGAAATATACATGTAAATCTTCTAAAGAAAAATAAGGGCTTTTACAAAATTTTTAAATAATTAATTAATTTCTTTAAATTTTTGAAACATTTATATCTTTAATCTAAAACATTTATTTAAAATTATTTAAGTATCATGTTTTTCTTTGCAGCAATTTCATAATTTACTCCATTACTGGCAACATATGGATAAATACTTTATGCAAGTAGCAGTCATGATTTTCTGTTTAAAAATAAATCCTTCTCTTTTTCCTCTCGCTGGGAATCATATCAGTCTACGCATATCACATAATTCTTTCTAACATAATTTTTATTTTGAATACGGAAATATTTATTTTCAGTTCTTTCGTGTACACAATTTTAAAATTTTGACTAAGGTATAAAGTGAGTTGCTTCAATAAAACATTGCCTGGCTTTGATGCTCAAGAATTCGGGCTATTTTTCTGCAAATTTATTTTTCATGTTTTAAAAATACACTGACATTCAAACGAAATTTTATCAACACAACAACCGTAGACCATTATGCATTTATCCAAATTCAAGAGCCCACCAATGGCCGAGCGGTAAAGGCGCTGAACACTGGTAGTTCGGTCCGAGGTTCGAATCCCGCGAACGGGCTAGTTGCATGGCCTTTTTTTGTGGTTTTCCCCCTGTGTAACGTGTATACGAGCCAGTTCCCTTAGAAAGTCGTCCACAAAGGCATCCCTCCCCTTGGGCAGATAGCCCTAGTGTGTTTGCCATAATTAAATATACCAACACCAAAGGC